AAAAAAAAAAAAAAAAAAAAAAATTGGACTGGTAAGTGGTTAATAAAACTAAATTCACTTTGTCAACTTGATCAATAAAAGTGAAATGGCACCAGTGACTTCCTATCATAGTCCCCAGCTAGTCCGCAGGGAAAGTGACTAGAACAAGCTGGCCTGGTCTAAGCTGGGGAAGGTTCAGCTCCACTCCAGCCCTCAGGCACCCCGCCCTCTCTCTGGCAGTCAGAGACAGTTGTCCTGTAAGAAGCCTGGGTTGTGGTGAGTCAGGAGCCCTAAGGACTCCTGTCTACACTCAGCTGTGACCTTTTCCCCGCCTACAGGACCTTCCTGGCCCACTCACCAAGCAGCCGAACCAGCTGCCTCTGAAGCCCTCTCTCCTCACACCTTTCCCACACCACTTCCTCCTTCCAGAAACTTCCTCTTCCAGAAGCTTCCTCCCCTTTCCCAGCTGGCTCACCTTTGCCCAGAACATCTAGTTGGCCTCCTCCTCACAACTCACAATGAGAGCTACCCACACCCTAGCAAACACACACCTGTCTGTATGTAACTGTTTGGTTTTGCAGTTCCACATACCTAGGTTCTTCAAATCCACCATTTATATATATGTAACCTTGGCTAACTTGAGCCTCAGTTTCCTCATCTGGCATCTGTATCATGCCCACCTTAGATGATTGCGTAGGACTTCTGTGGGATCAGATGTGGGAGACGTTTGGCCCTGTGCCTGGCATGCGGCAGGTGTTCAGTAAGTGGGTGCTCTGGTCACCATTAATGTCATGATTATGGTGAGGTTGTTTGGCTCTTCTAGCACTGAGTGTGTCACAGGCTTGGGGGCTAGAAATTGTCACCCACTAGGGCAGGGCCCCCTGGACACCCTTGGGGAGGTGCTCACTGCATATGCAAAGACTTCAGCTCTGTCCCCTGTTCTCAGGGTGGCTAATGAGTGGGGGACCCTGAACAACTGAAGGAAGCCAGTGACTAAGGAATTTGGGGTGCTCCTGGAGAGGGCTGTCCTCCAGGCTGCCC